ATCCGTTTTACCTTGTTCACTCGTGGATGAGAGATGTTGCAGTTTGTTGAAATGTCACGGCTGTATATGCTACCAGGTCATTGGCAAAATATAGTTCGCTGATATTACTAATATATTCGTTCCTAAGCTTAACTAATAAATGCCTTAGAAGAATACTAAATTTCAACAAGAATCCAGGCAAGAGTATGTGTCTAATTTTATACGAAAACGTCGCTGGAACTATGTCGGCCACGCCCTTAGAATGGATAAATCAAGATTTCCTTACCAAGCCCTCATTTGGACACCACAGGGAAAAAGATCTCGTGGAAGACTAAGGGAAACCCTACGTAGAACTATCATCAGGGAAGGCTCGCTCATGGGCCACTCAAACATCCAAGACCTACAACAGATTGCAACGAACCGCCATGCATGGAGAGTCATGACCTCTGCCCTATGTGCCGCACTCGACACAAGAGGAAAGACTAACTAACTAACTAAGCTTAACTGACGTCTTTACTTATACTGTTAATGAATGTGATAACATAATTAAAATCATTATGGGAAAAGCTGAATTCTGTGAGATCCTAAACATATAATTGCCATGAGAAATAATGTGTTAAATCTCTATACAAAGCATGTAATTGTGTTGTACCCAGATGAGGCTTGGCCATTCAGCACAGTGTGATAAACACCCCACTCATAGCAGCAGAAATGCCATTTTGAGAACAAAAGAGAGAAGAGCCAACTGATGTCGTTGTAAGTGACTGGTAGACTCAGGGTGAGGGATCGACTGCAGTCTGTTCTGTTTTAGTGCTCCCAGCTGGGGCAGTTGATTGTTGTGGTTGCTTTAATGCAGAGGGATTTCGTTACTCTCGTGGGGCTTGGTTGAGTGTCGGGGTGATTTCCTCAGCGATGTCTAGTAATTGATCATTGTATGGACTAATTAGATTTTGTCAGCAATGCACAAATCTGCCTTTCTCCAGGCTTATGCTGGCTTACACATACTTTCTAGCTCTGTTGTAAGTACAGCTTTAACCTGTTTACGAAAGTTTTGTAGAAGCATATTCATGTACCGTCTCTGTGAATCAAGGTCTTAAATATGGTCTGTAATATAGAGGTGGTATACAAGATTAATTTAATAGGAATATCAGCATTCTCATATTGGTGGTGTTGTAACGTCGTCCGTTAGCTTCCAAGGTTTATCTCAAGAAGATGAAATACCTCCTTGCTGTGACCCCTTCCGGAGTGGCTTCTGTGGCTCCTTAATGGGGTTTGGGGGGGGGGGGGCGTGGGTGGCATAAACCCACGGCCTCCCTAACAAACATATTGTAAGAGTCGACTAATAAAGGGTTTCCTTTTAAGTCGAAATGCATCTGCCTAAGAGGCAAGTAACCAAGAGTCTGCACACACATAAGACAGATCAGTAAAATGAATATGCAGGCAAACTGTAAGTTCTACAAGAAGACCAGAGTCCAGTTGTGGATCAATAATCATACAATTTCCGCCAAAATTTACAGCGGGCAAACGTGAAGAAGAAGAAGAAGAAGCCATGACCCAAGTTCTTTGAACCACAATATCACTCTTTAGTTAGGCCCAGAACCACCCTAACGGTCGTTACAAATCAGCTAATGTACGCATACTTGGGGTCGAACAATGGCTTTCAAAATGTGTTAGACTACTTCTGACTGTTGCTCCGATTTAGGGCTGCTACATGAGGATTTGATCATCTTTGCGATTCACAAGTCGCATCCTGGATGGCAGTTCAACAGGACAGATTACGCACACACACACACACACACACACACACACACACAAAATCAGTGACTACAACAAAGACACGAATTACGGTTTCCAGCTTTGTATACTTTGTTGACCGACGGAGTGGAGATGACCGATTACTTCAGTGTAATGTAACACTTAGCTAGCTGTCAGTGAGGTCTAGCCGTCCTCGCACAGACTCATGTAGTATTGCTGTCTCTAGTTTGGGCAGCACTGAACTGGACTGGCGGATCTAATGACTGGCCGGTCAGTGTGTACACTGTCAGCATATACCTATTGTATATGTTCTCAACACTGCTAAACTCAGACTAAGCTGCAGTACACACATAAACACTGCGTTTGTTTATGACTACTTGTGGTATATTTGTCTGGCCTCCTGGCCCATCTACTCATTGTTACTATATTCTACTTAAAACGTAGGCAGCGGGCATTTAGGCGCATTAACAAACGCACAAATTTGCAATTTAGCACACACAAAAATACTTGCGCAATTATCTGGCTCAGGAAAACCTGGAATCGATTTCTTGGCAAACAGCAGACATAAGTGGAAATGGGGAATGGGGAGGTAATGCCTGTTATAGAAAGAATGTGCTCTGGGGGGAGATAACTGACGTCAATATCGTTTCACACATTCCAACTGACAAACACACGCATGTACATACAATATGCTCTTATCGCTGTGGTGCAGGAGGCGGGAATACATGAAAACGTGAGAAAATACAAAACAGCCGGATACTGGTACCGACCACAAGAGACACAACTATAGACGGGTATATGGCAACAAGAAGGTTAGCAGACGAGAAGGAACAACTATTGACCAAGAATTCAACAGTAAACTGTCGCGGACTGCAGCATACTTCAGGACATGGCAAACAAAGAGGAGAACGTCGCTGTGCAAACCACCGAGTGGCTGAATAGCCAGCTATAAATGTTATCTGGCACAACACGACAATATCACAGAAAACCGTAACAACCCAACGGATCTTGTAAACATGAATTCCGACAAAAACATGCACTCGATTGTAAACATTTTCAAAACAGGCAAAATAGGAAGGGGGTGGGGAACAATATGGAGAGTGCTACAGAGGTGTGTGAGAGTGCTACAGAGGTGTGTGAGAGTGCTACAGAGGTGTATTTATATATATATATATATATATATATATATATATATATATATAGAGAGAGAGAGAGAGAGAGAGAGAGAGAAAGGGGGAGAGAGAGAGACGTGAGAACGTCCTGCTGATGTCAAACAAGCACTTTCGCATGTCCCATTACATCCCTACTGTCACTGATCTGCTGGCTGTCGCTCTACGTGTCTATAGGTGCACGTGGCAACATTCACTGTGACATATATAGTTATGTAAATAAACTTGTGGAATGTCCTGCCATCTGACCAGTGTTTGTTATGAGTAACACAAGAACGGGGTGTCACAATCTTCTTGGAGACTGTCACAGAAACTTCGAGTTTCCTTGTAATCATCCCATCCGTGGCTGTGATGAGTATCTGTATGAAAACATCCAATTACAGACACAATGACTGCCTCAGAACCCACCTGTTGTTACCACAGACACCATGACTGCCCCAGAACCCATCTGTTGTTACCACGGACACCATGACTGCCTCAGAACCCACCTGTTGTTACCACAGACACAATGACTGCCTCAGAACCCACCTGTTGTTACCACGGACACCATGACTGCCTCAGAACCCACCTGTTGTTACCACAGACACCATGACTGCCTCAGAACCCACCTGTTGTTAACACGGACACCACGACTGCCTCAGAACCCACCTGTTGTTACAGCCTATCTTTGTGGCGACTAGCGCATTCACTTCGTTTCCATTTTCCATCCTAAGCTCAGTTTTTCCCTCCACCATCAGTTAAAATTATCTGCTGATGTAAATCAATATCAAAGTGTTTTCTAGTGTTTTCTAGTCCCATGGCCCATCTGTACAGCCCGTCTTTCTGACAGCTATTTGCTATCATTTATAGCGGTAGTTATTTCACGTAGGAAACTAGACGGTAGTGCTAGACGGTAAACGTGAAATGCAGTGGATAATTTATCTCATGTAAAGTTTCAGAGAGAAAAAAGTTAGAAAATTTGAAAAGTATGACTTGCTAACAGGCAGGTTATACAAGAGGTGATGAGAAGGTGATGACAGCACTGAACAGAATACACATTGAGAACACCTGATGATGATACTGTAAGCAGAATGTGGTTTTCACTCAATTGAAACAAAAAAACACGGGGCAGCAAGCCACACGCACTCAGTTAAAGAAGAGAGTTGAAGGCATGTGAGAATAAGATGGGGGACAATAGAGTGAGCTTCTAGAGATGGCAAACTATAGCACGGCATGTTCTGACTGAGAGTCTATGATATACTCCACTAGGTCTAAACCCAGAAGATCGCTATGATGACTATGATGATGATGATGAGGTGCACAAGCGTGTGCTTATTCAAATGTGAAAGCCAGTATGGAGAACACTGGTGTAACAACAGAGCAGCAGTCAAGATACCAGGGCAAACATATCAACACAAGCCTACAAATATCGATACCGGCGTGCACATATGAAATATTTAATTCTATCTGAGGCTATACACTACAGTTTTGCATGTCCAGTTTGAAGACGTTGACAAGATACGCTATGTATTTTCACGTCTGTTTATCAAGGGAACACTCTAGACCGTTGTCTCAATCATTATCAAGCTCTTTGATTTTACATACTACTGGCCACAGGACGCCAGAGAAACAGACAAGGTATGCGTGTTATGAATACACTACCACTGAGAAACTATCCTACCGCAGTTCACAACTCCAGGTGTCTCTGCGACATTAACACTATGGCTGTTCTACCATGTGATTGTGCAGTCGTCCGTTTAGATCAGTGGGTATCAGTCTTTCTAAAGCCGCGTCCATTTAATACGGTTTCCTTATGCTGTGGCGACCCCTAAACAATTATTTTCCTTCAGAACGTCAATGAATATGAGTTTCCCGATGATCATATGCGATCCATCTGAAAGGGTCGTTCCACCCACACACACACACAAAAGATCCCGACCCGCAGGTTGAGAACCGTTGGTTTAGTTACACAGAAACGTCAAAAAGACCAGATCTGCGTCGGTATGCATCATCATCATCAACACAAACACTCACTTAAGCCACTTGATTGCCACTGTTATCAGGTTCTAACCACTTCCTAATCTTGACTTAATGATCTAGAATAATCTGCGAACTTACCAAGACCAGCGAGTTTCTTGTCGTGGTGAGCCACTTTCACTTCCTCATAAGGTCGAAGGTTATCATCTGAGTGGAGGTCTTCGTCCTCAGAGCTGCACGTTTGGCTGCCCCTATTTTTCATGCGAGCCTTCCGGCCTGCTCGTTGAGTGCCAGATCCTTGACGCACGGGTCTAGTGCTTCCTGATGGGACGCCATTGACCACAGGTACTGCTGACGTCATCTTCTGGTGGAGTCTCTATGTGACATTCATGGTGCTCTCTGGGGCGGGGAGGGATCTAACAAACAAGAAGGGGAGAAATTTGAAAAGTCTGAAATAAGGAACTTAAAAAAGCAGGCTGTATTTGTTTTTTACTACATCACATGTGAAATTCATATTATGAACACAACAAAAAACGTCCCTTCAACATGTAAATGCTTCGTGGTATGATCAGAACAAATACAAATGGCCTTTCCGGCTGACTTGCTGCAGTGTTTAGAGAGTCAAGAGCGGATAATGAGGACAATAGTCGATTATTTCTTGGTGGCCAGACGACGGTCTGTTGTTTGTGTTCTTTAGACTAGGGAGTTTTTTTTTTTTTTTAGTCAGATATACTAGCGTCTGTTTTCTTATTAACATAGCGTAGGATATGTTTACTTAGCACTAAGTTAGCTTAGTCTGTTTTCTAAGATAGACAAGGGTCTGTTTACGTTGTCAGATAGACTAGGTTCTGTTTTCTAAGATAGACTAGGATCTGTTTTCTTAGTTAGACAGACTAGGGTCTCTTTACTTAGTCAGACGATTGTCCGCTTTCTAGGTTAGAACATGTTTTCTCTGATAGTTCGGTTAGTCGACTGACTGGCTGAGTGTCTGACAGCTTATCTGACAGTTCAGTTAGTTTGTAATCAATCCAGTGATGACGTTCTGTTAAGGTTTACAACTAGGCTGTGATATCTGCACCTTTCGGCCCAACATTCGATCATTTAACAATAGACTTCTCAAGGTGCAGTCGACGCAGTCGCTGGATTGTTTTCTCTCCAAGACCAGGCCCGGAATCAACACAGGCAACAGTTATTTATGCCCAGCATCAAATGGTTACCAGAAAATGTCCTGGGAAGTCAGGTCGGCAGGGCTAATGCTGATGACGTCACCCAACGTGCCGATTTGTCTATATAAACACGAATCTGCAGTCGTGTGCAGGACACTGACGGGACAGCGTTCTTGACTTGACTGAAAACTGACTTGCTGGGATTAGGACTTTGTCTGCAGTTTTTTTTTAAATTATCGAGTCTTCAACACATTGTCCAGAATCAACTAATTACAGACTAACAGATGTATGAGAATGGCGGTTTTGTTATACATTTACAGATTGGCAGTGAAAGTAGACAGTCCTCAAATACTTATAAATATAAAAATAAATGGAAGAAAAAAGGGGGATTGGGGCATTATAGAGATGCTGACAGACATATGGACCGTCTTTAAATTTAAAGCTGTTTGAACCGTGAGGTCCACAGGCAGCAGTAACACAGAATATATAAGTCGCTTGTAAAACTCTCTCGTAATGGACTTTTTTTTTAGCTGTCAGTGCATTTACTGGGTTAACATTTGGATTATAAACTAAACCAGAAGGCAGATAAAAATATACACAGCTAGTTCACAAACGAGAGAGAAAGAAAGAATGAGACAGAGAGAGAGATAGCTTGGGGAGGGGGGGGGGGGTGGAGAAACAAAACAAAAAAGACAGATACCCTGGCTTCAATCTCCAGCGTCTAGTAAATGATAAATGAGGGCGCTGTAGTACTGGTTTTGCTAAAGCTAGGAACACGGTTGGTCAAATGAACTGTGACCTGGTAGATGTGACTGAGAGAACATTCTGGCTCTGCTGGGAAGCCAGTCTGATGCCATGAAATATTCATGTTTGCTGGATGCGTTACAGGTTGCACAGAAACGGACAAGAAAACAGGACAAGTATCATAAAACAGCTTAGGGTTGCAGAAACAACAGCTTAAGTCACCAATGGCAACATTTCAATCCGTTGATTATATGTTAACTGAAAGAGTAAATATGCGTGACTGAGTCATTATTGTTATTCATTGCCCATATATATCTTTAAGAAACGTTGAGTAATTGTCGTTTAATTATTTACTTGCTGTATTGGGCGCCAGAACCTTGTCGCTTAGGCCTCAAAAACCAACGTTCCTTCTTTCCACACACATACACACACACACATACACACCCACACAAGTGAAAAAAAAGGGTCACTGGTCCCTGTAACCGGATAGAGAGGTTCTATTTTCAAACATGTATTTTAGACTCATTCAGACTCAAAAACATATTTTTATATTAACATGCCATTGTTACTATTATTATTATTACTAGTAGCAGAAGTAGGGCTTGGTGTTCTTTTGTCAGAAACGACTGTAAGTTTGTTTTCTTGCTTCTGAGTGATTTATGCAGAGTCTTGAGTGTTACGTTTAGGTTGGATATGCAAAGATTGTGATCGCTGCCAACATCTGCTCCTCTGTAAGCTCTGATGTCTTGTATTTATGAACAAAAATGATCTATGTTATCTGGCGAGTTCCACGTGATTTTATCTATATTTTTGTGGGTAAATAAGGAACTTGCTATTATCAGATCTGCTATTTCACAGAATTATGTTAGCCTCTCTCCGTTTTGATTCACGTCCCCTAGACCGTGAACTCCCATGTATTTTTCAACATCCTTGTTGTCAGACTTGGATACTAAAGAACACAGTAGACAAGACATTAAGAGGCACACGATAGACTCTATTCACCATGCTTGAGGACCTGGATTTTGCAGATTATATAGCACTCCTACCACATAAACATGAACATATTCAAGGAAAAAAAACAAATATCACTCCTACCACATAAACATTTTCAAGAAAAAAAAACAAATATCACTCCTACCACATAAACATGAACATATTCAAGGAAAAAAAACAAATATCACTCCTACCACATCAACATGAACATATTCAAGAAAAAAAAATTATAAGACTACACAGCACAGCAGAAACGGTGGGACTGAGAATAAATACAAGGAAAACTAAGATCATGACAAACAGTCCAAACCAACAATTGACCATAAATAACAAAACGTTTAAATATGTAGAACACTTCACATATCTTGGTAGCGTGGTGTCCCTACTGGGAGGGACAGAGGAAGATATACAGTCACGCCTGAACAAAGCTAGAGCTGCTTTTGAAAGGATGGGGAAAATCTGGAAATCCAACATTTACTGCAGAGGAACGAAACTTCGACTCTACAAGATAATTATTTTATCAGTTCTTCTTTATGGAGCAGAATGCTGGTGAATGACCAAAAAGGATGCACACAAGCTGTCCACCTTATACCAAACTTGTCTACGCTGAATTATCAAACTTTTCTGGCCAGATACAATCTCAAGCACTAAATTACTTCAACTCACAAACCTAGAAACTTTAGACAGTATGATAACCAAGAGAAGATGAAAATGGTTTGGCCACGTTATGAGAATGAATCCTGATATACCTGCCAAAACAGCTCTCACGTGGACACCAGAGGGAAAGAGGAAGGGGCGGCTAGAAACAACATGGAGACGAACGATTGAGTGACCTGAATGCGGCATCTCTGACATGGAAAACTGCACTGAAGAATGCACAGGACAGGAAAGCATGAAAAGTCCTCTCTGAAGCCTCATGTGCCACTAGGCATAAAGAGAACTGATGATTGATGATTGTTGTCAGACCCTATCTTGGCGCTGAAATCGGTCACGAAAGTTGTTTTTGTTGGTGTGGATATTGTCGTTGGTCGGTGTGTGGCACAGTATTAGTGTTAGTTTGAAATTTTTGGTTTGGTAATGAAATTATTTTGTATTTAAAAACAAATCAGGTTATAGTACACATCCTTGTCTTAATCCTGTCTTTTTGCTCTGAAATGTTCCCAAATTGTTACTAATTCTTATAGCTGCTATCTGCTGCCAATACATGTTCTTTATAATTCGTATATCTTTTCCATCTATGTTTAGCATTTCCAAAAGTTAGATTATTTCTACATGTTTTACACAGCCAAATGGTTTCGTATAAGTCAATGAAGCATAAGTAAAGATAGTTTTTTTACTTCTATAACTTTTTACGTAATAGTCCTGATGATATATATGGCCCTTATTGTAACGTTTCCTTCTACAAATCCACATCTGCAGAATTTTATTAGTCCTTAATTTGATTTTTATCTTGCAACTCTATGTGTTGGAGAAATAACTGACTATCCACTGGTTATGCCTGACTAACCACTGGTTATGCCTGACTAACCACTGGTTATGCCTGACTAGCCACTGGTTATGCCTGACTACCCACTGGTTATGCCTGACTAACCACTGGTTATGCCTGACTATCCACTGGTTATGCCTGACTATCCACTGGTTATGCCTGACTAGCCACTGGTTATGCCTGACTACCCACTGGTTATGCCTGACTAGCCACTGGTTATGCCTGACTAGCCACTGGTTATGCCTGACTAGCCACTGGTTATGCCTGACTATCCACTGGTTATGCCTGACTAGCCACTGGTTATGCCTGACTAGCCACTGGTTATGCCTGACTACCCACTGGTTATGCCTGACTAGCCACTGGTTATGCCTGACTAGCCACTGGTTATGCCTGACTACCCACTGGTTATGCCTGACTAACCACTGGTTATGCCTGACTATCCACTGGTTATGCCTGACTATCCACTGGTTATGCCTGACTAGCCACTGGTTATGCCTGACTACCCACTGGTTATGCCTGACTAGCCACTGGTTATGCCTGACTAGCCACTGGTTATGCCTGACTAGCCACTGGTTATGCCTGACTATCCACTGGTTATGCCTGACTAACCACTGGTTATGCCTGACTATCCACTGGTTATGCCTGACTATCCACTGGTTATGCCTGACTAGCCACTGGTTATGCCTGACTAGCCACTGGTTATGCCTGACTACCCACTGGTTATGCCTGACTAGCCACTGGTTATGCCTGACTAGCCACTGGTTATGCCTGACTACCCACTGGTTATGCCTGACTAACCACTGGTTATGCCTGACTATCCACTGGTTATGCCTGACTATCCACTGGTTATGCCTGACTAGCCACTGGTTATGCCTGACTACCCACTGGTTATGCCTGACTAGCCACTGGTTATGCCTGACTAGCCACTGGTTATGCCTGACTAGCCACTGGTTATGCCTGACTATCCACTGG